ACGCTACCACATGTGATCTACACTTGTAATTGCTTTAAGGTCTCTGCGAAAGATAATGGCAGCCACAGTGCACTACCACAAGACTAGGCATATGCGTCTAGCCAGTGGTTAAAGCCAGCACACTTTAAATATCAATGAAGTTGCGACATTCTGTCAAATACTATTGCTAATGACAAGCAGACTTTTCCTTATACTGAAATAAGCAAAGTCAGATTGCACAAACTCAGCACCTTGTGTTGAGCTTGTGTTCCTGCAGCCTAAGATGATCTACTGGGATATTAAAAAGGAGCAAAGGTTAAGTCAGGGTCAGAAAATGGCAGAACAGCAGGACACGTTTTAAGTATGAAATTGCTTAACTTGTGAAGTTCATGAAGGTGCACGAAGAGAGACATTTAAAAAACTGGTAATGTGTAGATGTTATGGTGAAAGATATGGACAGAGTGCCATACAGAGTAACAAGAAACAACAGTAGGTAACAATGAGGTAGTCCGCTTGCAGCGGGATAGTTTAATTAAACTTACCCATTCTAATATGAAAAAGGACAAAAAGAAGGCTCAGTTGTAATTAGTGTACAAGCCACTAGTGAAAAGAGCATCTGAAATGTTTGCAGGTAAAGAAAAACATTTAAAAAATAGGATGACTTTTAAGCACACATCCACAAGCCCGTGATCGGTGTGCGGCAGAAAAGGGAGTCCTTATTCTGCATCTCCTGAAGTGAGAGCCATGTTAGTCTTAATTGTGCTGAGCTGCAGTATAAAACTCATGATAAGAAAATCTACGTGAAGCACTTCATAAGATCACACAGGGAACAGTCCTTAATGAGCATGAATTCAGTTAGTACAAGGAAAATAATTCATCCTAAACTCTATCTTTCTACAGTAAGTGCCAAAGTTTGGCAGTCGCAGTAGAACAGGATCTGCAAATAAGAGGAACACACGAACATCTCTCTCTCTTGTTTTCATTCACTTGAGAGCGGAGGCACTTAGCCAAACTGCTGAAGTGGGTATTCTACACGCTGGGCCAGAACTGAACAGGACACCCTAAATAAATCACAAGAAAATTTTAAGTGTAGCCGATGAATATGAATCTACAGCCTGGGGTTTGAGTGTAAGGTTAGACCTCTCATTCGCCGAGACATCAATATTTTAAAGCTCTGCAAATATTAAGCATTCCAAAACCTTTTCACTTTTAAGCATACATTTGCTCTCATCCATGCAGCATATACTG